AAGTGCGGCACTTCGGTAATTCAGACCCTAACCTTAAACCCTAACCCTAACCACTTGTTTTGCCACTTTTCAGAAATCAGAAGCAATTCGGAAATTCGGCTATTCGAACTTCGGACATTTGTAAGCATCAGAAATGTCTGAATTGCACAAAATTCATCCAAATGTATATTCGGAACCAAACAAATTGCACATGTCTACTGGGTATTACCAGATGGCCATGAAGGCAGATGATCAGGAAAAGACAGCCTTTATTTGCATTCTGGGGTTCTACCAATTCACGCAGGTGACGTAAGGGGTCACCGGAGCCCCAGGCACCTTCAAATGTTGCATGGAGAATACCATAGGGAACATGAATCCTTAAGAATGTCTGGTATGCTTGGATGATCTTATAGTGTTTCGGAAAGACTCCAGAGGAGCATGAGCATAAATTACTTAAAGTCTTGGATAGACTTCAAGCATACGCATTAAAATTGTCCTTAGACAAGTGCAAGTTCACCAAAAACTGTCACTTATGTAGAGCACACAGTTGCTGCCCAGGGAGTTACTATAGGCCCAGCCAAGATATATATATATATATATATTTATATATATTTATTTATACCTTCATACATACACACACACAATCATTTTGGCTTTCCCATACATTACAGCATAAACACACACAAATGGAGAATAACTGTTTTGGGAGACTGATAACTGATTAACAGGTATAATAAGCAGCTCCTGCTGTTTTCAGAAGCTCCAGAGTCTCAAACAAGTATGAGTTCTGCCATTTTGTTAAATTAATGTGCCACAAGTGTTCCATCATTAAACATTATGCAATAAATACAAGAGTAGACATTAAATGGAAGGACCTCCCTGTATAAAAATTAACCTAATATAAATATATTGTTGAATGTAATTAGCTTGATTAAATGACGTCTTTAGTTTTGCTTATAATATAATATTCAAGAATATTAGTTTCTGGATATTAAATAGATGGGATGAGAGGAGAGAAAATGAATTAATGAATCTACAAAAATAATATATGTTATGTAAGCCTATACTACTGTTTACATTGGGATTTCTTGTGTGATTTGTCACTTTGTTTATTTTTATTTATTTTTGTTGCTGCAAACGTTTGAGCTTCCCCGAGGAAGTCCTTTGGGACGAAACATTTAGGACCATGCCTAGCAACAATTTATATACTTTTTTTTTATACAATTGTGTCTTTAAACATTGATTTTAATAATAAAGCATAAGTTACTTTATTCTTTCCAACTTGAGTCTGACTCTTCACACTGCAGTGCTATTGAAAGGAGGGGATAAAGATCAGCCCCCCATCTTCATCAGGGGAGCACCCCAACACGATATAACATTCTCCATCCTGTGAGTGCAACCCTATCAGCGCATCTTATATTTTCTATACAGTGTTACACTATTGTTGTTTTTGTAGATTTACCGCTGTATTCTCCATTTTGTCGGCTTTACTTATGTTGTATGTAAAGGAATACGTTCTGGGATATTCCTGGAGGAAGCTGTCACCACTATCCAATGAGATAAGTGTATTTTTCATCACAGTATTGATTTTTGGGTGTAGATGAAATTATTCTAATATTCTTTTTCTGTGAGTACATATTAAAGGGACAGTCTTCCCTAACTTTTCATGAATGTTTGAAATGTAAAACAAGGTAAGGGACTACTTACTAAACAGTAGCAAAGACAACTGGCAAGCAACATGTAAGCTAACATAACCAATCCACATATTGATAATGATTGACTTAATAGCAGTCAATAGGTTTTTGGAAGCAACTCTAAGCCTATACAAATAGTTTCTGGTCGATCAGTTAAAGCAAATAATTGAAAAATAGCACTGTCATTACAAATTTACACTATACCCAAAATGCCAACTTTGGACATGCTTAAAGGAAAACAGATATATATCAATGTCCATGACTTTGTGTAGGTGGGGTTTTTATAGTGCCTTTCACAGCTACCAAGATGCATTGATGCCAATTAATTGGATGTCTATACCGTTTATAATGTTACTTAGTCCAAGATCCCCTGATTTATCCATGTCGACTGGTTTATCAATCTAAAGATAGAGTTATTAAAGGACCACTCTAGGCACCCAGACCACTTCAGCTTAATGAAGTGGTCTGGGTGCCAGGTCCAGCTAGGCTTAACCCATTCTTTTATAAACATAGCAGTTTCAGAGAAACTGCTATGTTTATGAATGGGTTAAGCCTTCCCCCAATTACTCTAGTGGCTGTCTCACTGACAGCCGCTAGAGGCGCTTGCGTGATTCTTACTGTGAAAATCACAGTGAGAGCACGCAAGCGTCCATAGGAAAGCATTGATAATGCTTTCCTATGTGACCGGCTGAATGCGCGCGCAGCCAGCCGCATGGGAGGAGAAGAGGAGGATCGGAGGAGGTGAGCTCCCCGCCCAGCGCTGTAAAAAGGTAAGTTTTTACCCCTTTCCCCCTTCCAGAGCTGGGCGGGAGGGGGACACTGAGGGTGGGGGCAATTATAGACTGATCATTTCTTTGTCAGTGGGCAAACATTCAAAATCAGCAGGGGATCAAATACTTGTGTGTGTGTGTGTGTGTGTGTATATATATATATATATATATATATATATATATATATATATATATATATATATATATATATATATATATATATATAAAATAATATAAGAACTTTTGCACTCCTACCTCCAGCCAATGATACCGGGTGCTCAGCCACGCTGTGATATAGAAAACAAACGATTGCTGGCACTCCTGGATTTCCAACATCAAAAATACTTTATTGTCAAGTCAACGTTTCAGTCCCTAATCTGGGACTTTCATCAGTCCCAGATTAGGGACTGAAACGTCGATTTGACAAAGTATTATTGATGTTGGAAATCCAGGAGTGCCGGCAATCGTTTGAGATATATATATATTTTTTTATTATATGCCTTGTGTCCTGCACTCACAGCTCCTGGTCTTGTCCTTGCATTGGTGCAAACTCCAGCCACTGCATAAACTTTCCAGACAGAGTTTATTGTGCGTTTATTCAGTAAAAATCAGTGTTCATATATAGAGTTGAGCGAACCCGAACTGTAAGGTTTTTGGACCCTGGACCCGAACATTTCAGCGTATGTTCGGGTTGGAGTTCGTTGTTCAGCGATTTTAATGGCGAGTTTTGAAAGGCTGCAGGGCAGCCAATCAACAAGCGTTTGACTCATGTGCCCTTAGAAACCATCACAGCCATGCATACTAGCATGTGACCCAGCCTCTATATATAAGCTGGAGTCACGTAGCGCCACACGTCACATGAGCTCTTATTAGTGTAGGGAGAGGAAGCTGCAGCTGTGAGGGGCCGATTAGGAAAAAATTCTGATGTTGAATCTGCAAACGACAGCGATTATTTTTTGTGGGTGCTATACTACATTTTTGTACCGTGCCCTAAGCCCAGTGCCACAGAGAGTGCAGTGCACTTGCAACTGCATGTGTCCCAGGCACATTACTTTAATCCTGTTCTGGTAGCTCAGTGGACAACACCTAGGCATTTTTAAATGCTGAAATATTTTTGGTGCTAAATAGTACATTTGCATACTGCATTTCTTGCACTCTAATAAAACCCTTAAATACTACTGTTACATTGTTGGTTTAAAAAAAGAATCACACTTTTTTGTGCTTAATAGTTCATTTGCGATCTGCGGTGCACTTCATATCTGAGAGTCAAATAGAACCGTCAAATACTGTGGTTACATCGCACTTTGAAAAATTCTAATTTTTTGGGTGCTAAATAGTACATTTGCAGCCTGCGGTGCATTTCTTGCAGTCCAATGAAACCCTTAAATACTACTGTTACATTGTTGGTTTTAAAAATTACACTTTTTTGTGCTAATAGAACATTTCCGGCCTGCAGTGTATTTCTTGCAGTCCAATAAAAATAATCACTGGAGAGAAAGAGGAAGTACTCCCTACCCACCCGCGATCCCTGGCCCTGAATGCCAGCATTTCAAAATTCCTGGCCTTTGAAATGCTGTCATTCCGTCTGGTGGAGACTGACAGTTTTAAAAACCTGATGGCGGTGGCTGTTCCACAGTACGTGGTTCCCAGCTGCCACTACTTTTCCAGGTGAGCCGTCCCTTCCCTGCACAACCAATTGGTGGACAAAATCAGGTGTGCACTGCGCAACGCCATCTGTGGCAAGGTCCACATAACCACTGATACGTGGACCAGTAAGCACAAGCAGGGACACTATATCTCCCTAACTGCACACTGGGCAAATGTAGTGGCGGCTGGACCTGAGGCGGATAGCAGTTTGGCGCATGTCCTTCCGCCACGAGGATTGCAGGGCATTTCTCTTTGCTTCCTGTTGCCTCCTACTCCGCTTCCTCCTCCTCTACCACCTCCTCATCCAGTCAGCGTAACACCTTCACCACCAACTTCAGCACAGCCAGGGGGAAACGACAGCAGGCTGTTTTAAAACTCATATGTTTGGGGGGAAAACCCCACGCCGTACAGGAGCTGTGGACGGGCATGGAACAACAGACCACTGAGCCTCAAGCCTGGTGGTGTGCGATAATGGGCGAAATCTCGTAGCAGCTCTGGGCCTAGCCGGTTTGACACACATCCCTTGCCTGATGCATGTGCTGAATTTGGTGGTACAGAAATTCCTGAAAAACTACCCAGATATATCAGAGCTGCTGCAGAAAGTGCGGGTCGTCTGTGTGCGCTTTCGACATTCTCACCCTGCTGCTGCTCACCTGTCTGTGCTGCAGCATAACTTCGGCCTTCTCGCTCACTGCCTCATGTGCAACGTGCCCACAAGGTGGAACTCCACCTTGCACATGCTGGAGAGACTGTGCGAGCAGCAGCAGGCGATAGTGGAGTTTCAGCTGCAACACGCACGGGTCAGTCACTCTGCACCAGACTTGCCCTCCAATAGATCCTCGTTAAAGGATTTAAAGTGTACTCATTCCATTTATAGGGTCTCATAAAGAGTCCTGTATTGTTATTTATCGTCACTACCTCCCTGCGTCGGGAGTAGGTAATTTGCGCGCCTGCTGCCTTCCTTGGATGTGGTAGCCGTTTCTCAGGCTCTCTCTCTCCAGAATCTAACCCTGATTCCCCGTTACCCGTGGTAGGCGCAGAAAGTACCATCGAAAGTTGATAAGGCAGACATCCAAAGGGTCGTCGCCGTCACGGGGACGTGCGATCGGCCCAAGGTTATCAACAACTGCCGAGTTGCCCACATTCTAACTTGTGCTGATTACTGGGTGGCCAGCCTGCTGGATCCCCATTACAAGGACAACGTGCCGTCCTTAATTCCCTCACTGGAGCGTGATCGGGAAGATGCGCGACTACAAGCGCAAGCTGGTAGACGCGCTGCTAAGGGCATTCCCAACTGACAGGATGGAGGAAGAGGTCGCCAATGCAGCTGTGGCACTGCTAGCACCTCAGAAGGACTTTTTAAGAGGCATTTTAGTGGTCAATGGGGTTCAGGGTCAAGTTCGAGCCCCAACTCAAACTTTTTGACGAAGTTCGGCTGAACTCGGCAAAGCCGAACATCCAGGTGTCCGCTCTACTCTATTCATATATCATACATAGTCAACGTTTCAGTCCATCTGGATTCTTATCATATGTTTTGTTTATATATATATATATATATATATATAGAGAATTCAAGTAAATGGCTGCACTCACGAAGTAAAAGTCCAAAGTTTAATGACAAATGATTAAAACATCCAGGATCAACGTTTCAGTCCTTGCAGTCTGCAAGGACTGAAACGTTGATCCTGGATGTTTTAATCATTTGTCATTAAACTTTGGACTTTTACTTCGTGAGTGCAGCCATTTACTTGAATTCCTTGGATATTGAAGCTACTTTTTGGTTGGCACCGGGCTACTAAGGGATATTGAAGCGTGAGTGCAGGAGCAATTTTGTTTTTTCGTTTTTTTATTTTTATATATATATATGTGGAAGGCGTATGCCTGAATTTGTGGGAGGGGTTATTTTCCTATTTAAATCCCCAGTAACCCCAGCTTACCTATCGTCGCCGTCTGAAAGTTCTGGCCTGCTCGCCTCCCAACTTCCGGGTCCTCAACAGGCATCGCACTTCCGGTCCCGTCATACCTTGCGGCTTCCCACCAGTCCGTTCGCACAGACACGCACAAACTAACGAACACCAGGTAAGCGGCGAGAATAGCCGCGTTCGGGATATTCACGCCGTTCAACTTTTTCTTTCGTTTATATGCAATCTTACGTAGGAGACCGCAACCACAGGTGGGAGAGTCTAGGGGAAAGAGGAAGTTTATAGCTTGCTATCATGTAACAACTCCGCTATTAATATGAACGATTACATAGTGCCTTCTAGCAATTGCCTTATCATTTATTCCCTTTCTTTTTCTCCCGCATTCTCTTATCTTTTTGTCAAGGATGACTTGTCTCGTCTTTTGTGTTTACCTAATACAATTTGAGCTTTTGATCAAAGTGAATGTAGCTACTTGTGTCATTTTCATCCTACGTCCTAGAAATTTGCTGTTCTTTGCATCGCTCTGTATTTCGTTGTGTCTCTGTCTACACCACTATCTACATAATGTGTATACAGTTTGCGAGCGTGTGTAAATGGCTAGGAGGCAATTGTCAATCTAATTATGCTTTTATGTTTATTGTATGTGCTGCATTTTAATTAACTTCAATATTCTTGATGTCAAATCATTTACCATCATATGATAGAGGTAGCTGCAGCCCCCATCTCTGTCATATTTAAAGCTGCAGATCACTAATTATAATGTGACAAAGTCAGTGGAATTCACTATTGCAAGCCATATTTACAGCAGGGGTTCACAAACTCTCGGTTTACAAAGGTCACCTCATCTACAGGACTTTCAAAGGCCATGTTTATAGTAGCAGGTCCCTCACCACCATGTGACAGAGAGAGCAGCACACATCGATAAGTGCCATATTCACAAAAAAAAAAAAAAAAAAACACTTTTGAGTGGGTATTGTTTTAGGCTGAAGTCGCTCCAGGCTGCTCTTAAGCTCCAGCTCTTCATTACTCTATGTCCCCCAGTTTTATTTAGTTTTATTCTATACAAAAAAAAAAAAAAAAAAATCCCCGGGAAGCGACTAAACACTCACACAGCTTGTAAATTCCGACACCGTATCCACGGTCCGCACCGCCGGAGCCATGTTCAGTACTGGGGACTGGAGAAGGCTTGCGGGCTTAGCCCCGGTATCTGCCTCCCTGCTGCCCCCTACCAGCCGCACACCAGCAGAGACACCGAACCGGCAGGGCAGGGGCTGGCAGTGATGTCACCGGGACACTAGAATTACAGCAGCTGAGCGGTAACGTTGCTCACCTTCCACACACTGCGCTGGGCACTGGTAGAAGTGGCAGCAGTTTAAACTGGCATATACTGCTCCTTTAAGACAAAGCAGTGAATGCTGTTACAGGATGATAAAAAAAAAAAAAAAAAAAAATTCTTTGAAGAAAGATAAGTTACATTAGTCTAACCTGAGTGACTATGTTCACCCACTTTAACAATGCGGCAGTCTTTCTTGGTAGAAAAACTTAAACCCATGCTGATACCTTACAATCTGTATCATCCTATAATAACCCCTGTAATATCATGTCTGTTACTGTCACTCTTATGCTCTCACTACACGTAGCAGTCCCATGATAGGGATAATTGTACTGGTGGTTTCTCAACCTATTCTAAACTAGTTACGGTGTTATACTCAGTTTGATATTTCTCCATCCATTGTACAAACCCGCTGACGATCAGCATGCATTCACTCACACAAACCCTAAAACTAAGGGACGGTCATTAGGGTTGATTCGGGCAGTGAGCCGCTACCGAGTACACCCCTCATAATGTCTAGGCAAATCAAATTACCCGCACAGTATCTACGATGAGTACCATTTTAAATTACAGTTGTAATCGTTGCAACCGTTACACTGCTTCTAAATTCCGCTAAATGGATTCCATTTCATGACTAAAATAGTATGGTAGAGGGGAAATAAATAAATAAAATAAAACACGAGCCACGAGGGCCATACATACATACGTGCAGTGTAGTTCATACGTATCGACCATCTTGTCCCGAAGTGCTCACAGCGCACTCCAGTTACGGTCAGCCTTACAATTCTACTTTATTATCACTCGTGTTTTCATCCAATGGTATGTCCTCTCTCTCACAACTAACCGTCCCTCTTAAGTAGCAATGGCTGGCTGTCAGGTTCCTAGGTGTCCACTAGTTATCATTCCCCCTGGCTTCTTCGCCTTAGGTTAAGTGGTCCCGCGAGGCCAACACCCATCCTCACACTCGGAGGTACTACGCCCCTCGGGCCAAATCATAGTCAGTCGCCTCGCATTGTGGCATAGAGAGGGCCTCACCTGTCACTCCCATTCTGTCTTATGTTTAATTGTCACCGAGAGGCCGACACCCCGCCACAACGTTCAGTGGCCACGCTATCCCCTCGCGCCAACGCATAGGTAGAGCCTCTCAAGCCACTTGGCAATTAGCAGGGCCTCACCTGTCACCAACCTAGAGTAATCGTTTCGCTGCATTGCGGCACTAGCTAGTCAGCCAGCACACACACACGTAGTACTTGGGGGACCGAACCTGCAAACCCCGTCATGCATAACCGTTACGTTTCATATCTGATAATCAGATCAGGTGTCCTAGCGGATTATGTCCTGCATCGTTATAACTTTAGTTTCGATGGTGAGTTTATATATCCTTACCGTAATACAACCGTATGTCAGAACTATCAAACAAGGCAATCCAGGCTTTTAATACGTCAATCACTTACGGGCTAAGGGTCTCCTACATAATTAGATATAACAGTACAAGGATGATACCAAATATACATGTTTCCCCAACTTGTCACTCACTTTGCGATCCTTTTATACCACATACACTAGGTGCCCATATCAAAGTAATTGAAACCAAGATCAGCGGTTTCCTCCTACAATTGATTCAGGCATATTGTTCTTACATATATTTTCCGTTAAATACGTATATTGGCCACACGCTGTCTTTTACGTTTACACGTGGTACATATTCAGGCCTTGTTTCGGACCATAGCCAGGTCCTCAATACGCTTGGGTATATATAGTGACTGCTTCCAGATTTTATTCATTACAGATATACTGTTATTACTCTACAGCCCATTAGGGGCATTTCAGTACATTGAGTTCTAATTACATACGTTGACGCATACTGTCACCTAATTATTTTGTCTACATCAATTATACAAGGCAATGCAGGTTAAAGCATTAGCAATCTAATAAAGACTGGGTAAACCAGAATTCCCACTTGTTTCATATCAGACATCGAAGCATCACTCGGCCTTCATTACGAACAAACGAATACAATTCAAATCCCTGACAGCTAACAGGGACCTGTCTCAGCACGCCTGACATTCACAAGGTTCTCCATGCGCATTCAATCATATGTTACGCTATTTAATATTACATACATCTTACTATGTTATTTATGTTCAAAGTACATCAGGACTGACTTTCGGTCTTGCTATCTGTTTCTCTCTTAAAAGTTACACCTATAGGCATCTTATAATACAGTTAATTACAATCCCAAGCCTATCAAGTAACGATTGTAGGGTAGTTATTTTACGACATATATTTAAGCTTAAACCACAATCAAAGATCCTTTTCAGGTTCCTCTCTTAAGAGCACATTTTCCCTACTGTTAGTCACGGTATTTCGTTTGCTCATCGGTTCGCATTGAGTCAGATTTGTCAGATACTTTTTTTTTTTTCTCTCAGTCCTTTTTCGCCATGGTTCTACCAGTTTTTACACATATAAGGTATTAACGCTCATCCAGAAGAAACAAGCCTGCCAAGGGTCCCCCGCAGTATACCCCGCCCTGGCCACTCCTAAAGTCCTGAGGTCAGGCCTTGCTTAAATGTAACTGAGCTCGAAGAACATTCAGTTCAGGGATCCTCTGCAGTTCAATAAGGTCTTATCATGCCTTAAGTTAGAGGTTTTTTTTTTTTAAGCAGGTAGATTCGTCCACTAACACTAAGCAAACTTACTCTAAGCTACGATATGGGTAAGTATTGTGTATGATTCAAGATAATAAGTGCGTTCCAGTGATAAATGGCTGCTTGCACAATTTTTGCCACTTATCTTTGAAACCAGCCTATAATACTATTAAAACTTTACCTACAGGAATTTAACATTACGTATACACCATATACCCAACAGCTCCCATTTTCTTTTATTGTTCAGTAAAGATGCCGACTAGTGCCCGAGATCAA